ATCTTCTCTACAACAAAAAATTACTGACTTAAAGCAGCAATTGGAAAACGCTAACAAGGAGATCTCTTAACTTACTAACCAAATTGATACTCTGACATAAAAACTACAAATTCAAAGACCATTTAATTCTTCTAATTTTAAGAATACATGGACAAAAAACAAATATGTCAACCTAAAAATAGAATATTTATTTGGGGCACTCAGCAGTGCGTAGGTCTGGCATCTTCTATTCTACATTCAAGAGAGTCGACAAAATATCACAAATACAAAGTTTTTGCGGAAACCAAACCTAACGCACATAGCACGGAAGTAACTAAGACATGTCTAAATATGCCGCTATCGACAAATGAAAAATTAGTTTTATGTATATGTGAAAATGACAACAATGTAAAAGTTATATTATTAAACTTACGAAAATTATTAGAAAAATTCAACAAAAACAATATCATTGTATTAAATGTTTCAAAAAATAATTATGTTAATGTTAATCGATTAAATAGAAGTATCAAAAATATATGTAATGAATATAAAAATTGTCATTTTGTGAATTGTAATTACTGTACAAAAATTGACATTTGTAAAAAATAAATTACCTTATTGACAGTAGTGACTATGCGAATAAGTACTTAAATATTTGTGAACTTAAGAAAATAATAGGGGGTAATAGATCAAGCAAATATGAATCAGATGTTAAATCCAACCACTACAAAAAAGGCACAATCCTATTTTATTTTAAGCGCAGTAATATTTTAGTAACACATAGCGTTACAAAATCTACTTCAAAGATATTGCTACAAAAAGGGACTATACGCTATTACTTTTCCACAGTAAAAAAAGATATTTTTTTTCGAAATAAAGGCACTTCTGAATTTTAAAATCTTTCATCAAAATATCGCAAGTATTTTGTCAAAGAAAGACATTTTTGAGCTAACGCTAAAAGAGTTGCAAGAGGGCCATAATGATCCTGACGTTATATGTCTCTCCGAAACATTTCTAAGGAAAAAGTGACGATAATTATGTAAAACTTAGTGACTATCAAATAGTAATTTATTATAGTAGGGATAAACAAAGAGGCGGAACTTGCATTTTAGTTCGAAAGGGCTTACTATGCAAAGTGTTGTCTTTTGTAAAAGTTCAGGTAGTGCAAAACATACTCGTAATTGAAGTATGCGGCATATGTCTTTATAGAACACCGCAATCAGATCCAAGCTTTTTTTTAAAAAATTGGACAATTTACTTTAAACTTTAGTTACAAAATATAACACTAAGGAGCGCATAGTATTAGCAGGAGACATAAACATAAATACATTAAAAAAGGTAAATTATCTTGTGAGTTACAAGAACTTTGTCACAATTCGAACATAAAAATTTATGTCAACGCTTCAACGCGAAAGATATCGTATATAGACCACATACTGAGTAATATTCCAAACGCGACAGCAACTATATTACCATTTCATCTCTCGGACCATAACACAGTACAAATGTTAACCTTTCCAGTAAAAAATAAGCTAACATCGGTATCATCCTATAACATTTTTTAGAGAGATTATAACTTGGACCATATTCAAAAATTCAAAGAATGTCTACAAAACTTATCGTGGTATGAAATTTATGTGGAAACTGACTTGAATAAGGCCTTTAACGCTTTTCACGAATTGATATGCATTTTTTTATTATTTATGCTTTCCAAAAATAAAACTAAAAATAAACAGTAGTTGCACAAAAAAATGGATAAATCAAGGGTTAAAAAAGTTCTCGAACTGAACGGGTCTTGCGATACATATACTATAAAAAAATACACGTAATAAAGTTAACTACTTGAACTATTCAAACATTTTAAAGAAATGTATTTATAAATCCAAACAAATTCATAATATTAAATATATAATAGTAACAACAAATGCAAGGCTGCATGGAGAATTATTAGAAATGAAATTCATAACCCCAAAGTTATGGATAATATAGATACTATTAAAATTGGAAAGACCATATTATCTAATCCTACAGAAATAACTACTGCTTTTAATGATTATTTTATAGATATGGCCACTAATCATACCTTAACACAAAATTTAAATAAAAAATATGGTTTAAGTAAAAATTCAAGAGTGAATTCGATGTATTTAAGACCAATGACAGAAAATGAAGTTAAAATACAACTACTCGTATTATCATTAAACAATACCAATTCAGAAGGTTATGACGAAATTAACACTAAAATTATAAAATCATGCGCTGATAATTTAACTAAAATTTTGACACATCTAATAAATTTATCATTCTCATCAGCAAAATTCCCAGAAGCACTAAAATTGTCAATTATAAAACCTTTATTTAAAAAAGGGCGAAAGGATGATGTTCAAAATTATCGTCCAATCACCTTAATACCTATTCTGACTAAAATCTTTGAAATATGTATGTATAAAAGGATAGTTGATTACTGTGATAAATATCAGATAATTAAAAGTGAGCAATATGGGTTTCAAAAACACAGATCAATCTCACTTGCCATGTTTTCGTTAGTAAGAATAATACTTAGTAACATGAACAACAAACAGTTAACAACAGGATTATTCTTTGACCTCTCAAAGGCCTTTGATTGCGTTTTTCATGACATATTATTGCAAAAATTAGAGATCATTATTAGGATCAAAGAAGTAATACTTCAGTGGTTATAGTCATATTTAAAAGGCAGACAACAATGTGTTATCATTGATAAAATAGATAAAAACAATACCTTAACATCTCATTCATCTGGATATAAATATAATAAATTTGGCATTCCGCAAGGAAGTATATTAGGACCGATTCTTTTCCTATTATATATTAATGCAGGAAATAAAGTAAATGGGGCTCTATACTCTATTGTGAAAAGTCATAATGTGTCAAAAAAGGCACGTATGGCAATTCATAATGCTGTATTAGTCCCTACTTTAACGTATGGTAGTGAAAGTTGGGTGTGGCAGAAGAAGCACGATAGTATAATAAATGCAGTAGAAATGCGGTCGCTAAGGAGTATGTTAGGGCTGAATCTGAGTGACAGGGTGAGAAACTGTGTGATAGAAGAAGAGTGTGGTTTGCAAGATGATGCGGTGACCAGGATTAAGAAAGGAATGCTTCGGTGGATTGGTCATGTAGAAAGAATGAATGCGGAAAGACTGACAAAGCAAATATTGCAGAAGTGAATGGAAAAGTCGGAAAGGGACGTCCTAGACGGAAGTTTGTCGACCAAATTGGCGACATACTAAAAATGGGCCAAATTAAGAGTACCCTTAACCGACGAGCATGTATGCGTAGGTATATGGATGTGGAAGAGACGAGAGAGGTTTGTCAGGATCGTGCTAAATGGAAGTCTGTAGTCTCTGCCTACCCTTCTGGGTGACAGGCGTGAGTGTTTATGTATTTATGATATTGTTGACATTACGAATCATAAATGTGTTTTGTACGCTGATGACATTTCAATTATTGTGACTAGTAATAAAAATGATAATACAACTAGGAATCATGAAGATGACATTAATAATACAATTGACAAATTAATAGAATGGCTTGACGTAAATAATTTGAAAATTAATTTAGATAAATCTCATTACATACAATTTAATAAATCTATCAATTCAAATCATAATATTAAACTTAATATACCAAAACTAAAAAAGTTACATGTACAAAATTTCTGGGAGTAACGTTGGATGAAGATATGAACTGGAAATAACAAATAACGTATGCCGGAGAATCAATAAATTTGTATATGCCCTTAAACTCGTCAAAAACATGACAAATATTAAGACGGCAATTGCAACATACCACGCATACGTAGAGTCTATTCTACACTATGGAATTATAATATGGGGTAATAGTACTGATCGAAATAGGGCATTCATTGCCCAAAAAAAATGCATTCGTGCAATGTGCGAGATGTCGCCAGATATTTCATGTAAACCAGTATTTAAGAGACTTGGTATATTACCCCTCCCGTCACTATACATTTATGAAGTTAGCATCTTTGTCTTTAAAAATAAGTCATTGTTCATTAAAGCGCGTAATATATATCCCCGAAACCGACGTGACCCAGAAAAACTAGTTCTAGATGTTATTCCTAGATTCGTTAAATACAACAAAAGTTGCCTAAATATGTGTATAAAATATTTAATAAACTACCTAATAAATTTAAATTATTAAGCGAAAGTTTATTTAAGAAACATTTGTTTAATTGGTTAAAAACCGAATGTTATTATGACGTAAAAGATTTTTTGGATTGTAATTAATTAATATTGTTGATTATGTATTTGCATGCTATTTACCATTGTTAGCGAAACACGATTGCACTAGACAAATTGTAAGATCTTTTTATACCGTGATTCTTGCAAATAAGAGAGATTGACCCTGAGCCGTAAAGTCAGTTAATGAAAAAGGTGACTTTTTGAGGATCCAAATGGGATTACTTGAGCTTTTAATGTACCTCTAACCTTCATGGTACCTAGCTTTAAAGGTTAATCAGTGTTGCCATTTACACGGCAGTTGCCGTGTTACACGGCAATTTGGGTCTATTCAGCAATAAAACACGGTAAACGGCAGCATATTAATTGCCCTGTTCTAAAACACGGCAATCCAATGGTTACTAATTTTTTCGAAAATTTTATCGGTAGTCGATAAGTCATTATAACGCATATCACTAGACTACACTAGACGTAGTCATGACTCTATGAGCGGGGAAATCCCGACGCAAATTGGACATAGATTTGCGCACATCATTGTTTATGGTATTCATTTCATTCTTTCGTCTTTTGAAAATTACATTAAAAAGATATTCTGCTGTTTATTTAATTTATTTAATTTTAATAGCTAAACACTTTATCCGATCCCAAGGAAATTGTGTAAATTTCGAACCAACAAAATAAAAACATATTGAGAAGTATCTTAATTTAAAAACAACAGCTACATCTTTTAATTTTGCGGGTAGACGTAGAGATACACACTTATTTAACAATGATCATATGTTTGGAGACAGTGGGCCAATAGGTCTTGAATTTACGTCACCTGCCGTGACTCACTTACAATCGGCTATTAATACGAACGCAAATGATAATGGCGACACAACTATCCCTTTATGTAATGACAGCGAGAGTGAGCAAATAAATAAACTTCTCATTTCTGCAGCGAAAGATATGATAAACGAGGCAACCATTCCATTCCCCCAAAAGGGCGTGCGGGCATTGCAAAACAAACACATAAGTGACAACAACAAACAAGCGATCTCTCTCATTCCTTCAGAGAGAAAGTTTGATAGCGGTGTGAGGTCTAATGGCACCGAGAAGGAGAGGGCGGATGTTCAGAAGTTGACGTCATTAACGTTTGATAATTCCGCAAGTCCTAAAGCAAGTAATAATGATAATAATTTATCAAATAGAGCGGTAGTCGAGTCAAGTGGGCCTTATAAAGATTTTACGGCCATATCTTGCGACAAACAAAAGTCATTAGCTGATGTGGTTAAGCAGAGCGGGCCTTGGAAGAAAAACGAGCCAAAAGAAGAGATATAGAAACATTATTAGTGTCGTTCGATATTTCCTTTGGTGCTAAAGGCGTAGAAGTTCCGTGACGACACGGCGTGTAAGTTCTCTGTTTCTTTTTCGCACTATTGCAAACCTTATTAACTTCAACTGGTGTATGGCACAATGACTGTAATATTATTATTTCTGAAGTCTACTTATTAATTTGTCTGTTGAGAGCATTATTTTCAAGTATTGTGTTTTCTAATTCGTTTTGTGTACTACTTAGTTCAAGAGTAAGTTGAGCTATTGATTCTTTTAACTCGTGGATTGTTACTGTCTCTAGTATAGTATCGTCTACACTCCTTAATAATTTTCTTGGCGTGGAATAGGATTCATCGGATAACTCGTTCTCGGTGAGTATGTGTGAGTGCATTTTCTGAGAGAAAAACGCATTTTAAGGTGTAGATTGTGAAACCTCGGTAATGTTTTGTACAGATGACAATTCTTTTGGAGCCAATTGGAGCCAAAAAAATAAAAGCCAATTCTACGACTGATGATGAAAAGCTTTCAATTATAATTGTTGTATGAAGTTTCTCTCAAACCCGGTCTAACTTACAATGAGAGGAAAAATATCGTAAAGAATACCCGAATTCGCAAACCATGCACAAGTTTAGTACACAATTTTAAACAAGTTGTTGCCTATACTTTTTCTGCAGGTGCAATAAAAGGACCTGAATTAGCAAAGCAATTAAAAAGTGTGGTGGACAAATCTTAAGAAGCAGGATTTGTTATAGTAGCCTCCATATGTGACCAGGGAACAAATAATCGCCAGGCTATAAAGTTATTGTCAAAAGAGACCAGGGGTATATATTTAAGAAGAGGTGAAGAGCCCAAAGAAAAAGTCATATTAATAGATGACAAAGAAATAATACCTCTATATGATCCTCACACCTTTTAAAAGGTTTGAGGAACAATTTGTTAACAAAAAATTTAGAGTTTGAGCATAATTATTCAGTAAAAATGGCTAAATGGGAGAATTCGCCAAAACTGCACGATAAAACTCCCATTGTCGAAGGTATAGGAATGGTGATGAAACTGACTGAGAACATAATAAACCCAGATAAAATTAACAAAATGAAAGTGAAGCATGCGGCTCAAGTGTTTAGCAGAACAGTAGCAACTAGCATGAGAGGCTTCGCAAGTAAGAATAATACTCTATTTCATTCATCAGTTTTGTCTAAAGAGAACATTCAAAAATGACTAAGCATAATATTATTTTTTTATCAACAACCACACAAGCACACCATCCTCACACCCAATGGTAAGCGGATGCCGTGGCCCGTAAACATCCACATTTATCCTCCGATTAAGATTCAAAATATAGATGCATTGTCACCCCTCAGGACTAAATTGGATTTGCCTTGTTTCCAGCAAAGAAGCTCTCCGGTTCTCTACACTCACCATACGAAACACAGCAGCATTAAGCTGGTATTTTACACTGGTATTTTAAGCTGGTATTCTGTGAGAGTGTAGTCCCTCCCCGGGACCCTCCCCACAATATGGCTGTAGCATGGCTCTACCACATTTAATTTCACTTTCACATCCATGCGGTATTACCAGTTATGCCTGTTAGTTTTTACACATGTCTGAATTTGAGCGATAAGGTTGTAAAAGTTTTAGCACTGGCTTGCGTGAAATAAGGAGCGCCCATAGTTTCTATCGTTTATTTAGCTTTTAAAATGTATTTTATTTAACACTTATTATAACTTATTTACTTTGAAGTATATAAAGAGTATCATGGCAAGAAAAACGATGTTGCTAGGTCCTGTGCCATAAGGGATCTTCATTTCTTCCAGAAACTATGATCACATTTTGACCCTCTTTAAGTAGTCAGTTTTTCTCGTAATTTTTCGTAGAATCTTATATCTCTAACATAGCCAGCCAGCCAGCCAGGTCAGGAAAGATTGAGGTATCACAAATTTGTTAATACAAATTTTATTAAAAATCTCTTTTCTTTTCAGGTCTTGGTGTTCTTCCACCCGAGTGTGTAGACACGGCATCGTTACTTCATTTTATGGATGATATGAAAGTAGATGCATCTTCCCTACTGTCGATAATTGGGTGTGGACACTGGAAGCCATTTAATCATTGATAAGAAAACTTATGGAGGAACACAATATTACATCTGTTTGGGTGCGACACCTAAACCAAGATCCCTTGGAATAAATTTTCAGCGCAATTCGCAGTCATGATTGCCGCAATAATAACCAGACTTGCGAGCAATTTGAAAACGCTTTTGCTACCCTTCTTGTCAATAATTTGAACAGTGGCCACATTTGGGGAAAAATTTTGAAGGGGACTTCTGTGATGCACTACACTCATTATTAAATATTATAATAATTAAACAGCGAAGCTATGTCGACCGAAACCTATGACTTCTAGGGATATATAAATATGAAATTGCTCTCCATGGAGGAATTAAAATAAGATTCAACCATTATTGCACAAAATGGTTTTTTTTTAATTAAAAGGTAAAATTTTTAAGGGGTGCAATATATGCTCAAGTAAACTTACTAGTACCCCAGAATGTGAGAGCGAATTTATTAAATTCCGAGAGTATGCCGATCGTCGTTGGCTTTGCTATCCCAGCAGTGATTTAAATCAGTTATTGACGGATCTGAAACATAATCTATGAAATTATAAAAAAAAATATTTATAAGAGATTCTCTAAAGAATTTATAAAAACAGTTTTATTCGCTATAGTAGATTTTGAATTGTTCTCCCATTTGTGCAATGGGAGAGAACACAAAGAAAAAAATATTGACTACATTATAAATTTAATTTTGAGATTCATGATTATTAATTATTGTAAACATATTGATAAATATGTACTAACGTACTAGAACAGCTATCTCAAACAAAAAATGTGTTCTACTCTGTGTTGGCGCGTTTGGTTTTTTTTATCATAGAATAAACATAGGTAGAATGATCGGTAGGTAATAGTAGATTGTATTGTTAAATTGGTAAATTATATCGAGCACAATATTTAAATTTTGTCATTTCTTTTGTATATTATATTTGCTTATTTATTATAATATTACATAATATTATATCACAATTACATTTTAATGATATTTTTATATGAATATTTTAAAAGGTATGTCAATTATTTAAAAAAAAACATACTAAATGTATGTTTATCAAAACTTATTAACATAACATTTAAATTACATATATATTTATTTAAATTAGAATAAGAGTCGTTCATAAATGCTGGGCACGCGAGAGTTAAAAATGGACGAATTTATTCCACCTTGACTTTAATGTGGAAACCTAAAAATAAAATAAAAGAATAATAAGCAGATTTAAATATTAAAAATTTAGCCTAATTATAATAACTTATATATGTTTCTACAAAAAAAAATGTGTATAATAATATATTCGTCCTATACTTAAGTACCCACAGAAATGTCGCATCTGAACATATTAATTTCATAGTCTATATTCCATGACACGAGATGTCGTCTTAGAAATAATTTGTTTTATTATGAATCTATAATACTTTTTATTGATTAAGTACACAAGACATTTCTTGTATTATTTGTGCAATATCTAAGTATACACGACGGCATATTTTTATCAAGAGATTTTTTTTAAATCAACACAACACGTGACATCTCCACAAGCGCCTAGCGAGTGACTGATTAAAGTGCGGTGTATGCACCGCAGTTAAGTGGAACAGAGTAGCTGAATGCAGTGTCGCCTCTAGTAGGTAGTACATAATAGCTCAATGTAAAAATATAATTAAAATAATGTCAGGTAGATCAAAAATTTACGATGTCAATGAATTTCAAACGAAAGCGAAAAAATTTTGTGAGCAGTATAGAAAATAATAAATGATTTTAAATTGAGTTTTATTTTATTTATAAAGTTAATAAAACCAAATTTTGAGGAAGAATTAGAAAAGTAACATATATTATTTAACAGTGGTAGAGCCACGCGACAGCTTTGCTGTTGTACGTATGGGCTGGCTCAAACCAGGGTGGTACCACGACCTCACAGAATACCGGCGTGAAGCGGAAGCTCTGCTTCCACGTTTCGTTTGGTGAGTGCAGGTGGCCGGAGGCCCAAATCCCCCCCCCTCAACATGGTAGCGGAATTAAAAGATGATAGACTACCCCAAAAGGGTACCAGCACCCCTGGAAAATCCCTCGCTGAGCATCCACGACCATGTTTCTCCACTTCTGAGCGTGGGTGCTCAGGATGCCCCGCGTATTCCGGGGGTGGGGGCAAAATTCCGCTCAAGACTACAACTGCTCGGGGCAAACGGAGCAATAAGACCAAGGCGACCCCTGCTACGCTATCCGTGAATTTCTGCAATATCAGGGGACTTCACTCTAACCTAAACGCCGTCCAATACCATCTCGAGACGGCCAGACCGGCTCTGCTCTTTCTGATGAAGACGCAGGTGTCCTCTCCGGCTAATGTCTCGTATCTCTCCTGCCCGGGATACAAACTGGAACACTCCTTTGTGCCTTGGGCTGGAGTTTGCATTTACGTCAGGGAAGACATCTGTTCTCGACGCCTCGGCAGGCTAGAAGGCTCGGACCTGTCCATCCTTTGGCTACGCGTAGACAGCGACGACCACCCGCTCGTCTATGGGTGCCTCTATAGGTCCCATAGCGGTAATGCCCAAATAGACCGACTCTTCGACCACGTCCAAATGGCTACAGATTCGTTGTTACAGCAGATCCCCTCTGCAGAGATCATGATCCTCGGTGACTTTAACGCCCATCACGCAAAATGGCTTGGTTCACGTTTAACCGATCATGCGGGGAGATCTGTTCATGATTTTGCCTTGGCATATGGTCTGACACAACTGGTTACTTCGCCTACGCGGATTCCAGATGTGGAGGATCATGCACCGTCCCTGACGGACCTTCTGCTGACCTCTCACCCGGACGGATATCAGATTTCCGTCGACGCCCCTTTAGGCTCCTCGGACCGTTGTCTTGTCCGGAATGTGGTGCCACTCACGCTGAAATCGC